GAGTACTCTGCAAAGCCTCTCTCCTCTGCTTACACTCCTGCTGGGGTTCTCTCCAGCCCCACAGAGCCAGGGACTAGAAAACGGAAAGAGAAGGAGCCCCAGGGTGAGTGGCTGCCATTGACAAGAAAGCACATTAAACACTGCCCTTGCAGTTGAGTCTTCAGTAGGGACTTGGTACTTGGTAGAGGCTCAGCCTTGACCTGAACAGAATCCCTAATCCTGTGGAGAACTGGAAATCCTGCCCCAGAGAACAGCTGGAGAAGAACTGTGCTGACACCTGGATCCCCCAGAATGCTACCCAGTCAAGATAGAGACCACACACTTCATCGTATTCAGAGCACTGACCTTGGGACCAGAGGTTCCAGTTCATCACCGCTGTGTAACTTTAAAGAAATCCTTTATCCTCACAAAGCGCCATCTTTGTGTAAGATGGGGATAATCCTGCCCATCGCATTGGGTAGTTGTGATGACTGTATGAATTCACATGCACAAAGCTCTTAGGACACTGCTATACACCTGTATCCACCCACCTATCTACCTGCCTGCCTACCTATCTCCGTAGACCAGGGAAAAGAATAGTTGCTACCCCATAGAATTGTGATAGTTGAATGAAAAAGAGAATGATAAAAGGTTTTGCAAACCCCTGTACAAACGAGAGTGAATATTATTATCAAATATCCCATCTATATTGGAGCCAATACAGCCGAGTGGTTATCCAACATAGCGCTGATAGAAATAGAATGTGAGCTATATAAGTAATCTAAAACTTTTTAGTAGTTACTTTAAAACAAAGCAAAAAGAGGCAGGTGAAAGAGTTTTAATAATCAATTTCCACTCCCAAGTGTGTGTATGAGGGTGGGGGGAGGGTCCCTGGCCCCAGGGAGGTGGCCCCGGGAAGGTCTCTGCAGAGTCGGTGTAACTCAGCTGTGCCTTTGGCTGCCTAAAGGCTACCAGGACCCAGAACCCCAAGAACATCTTTCTGGAAATACTGGATTGGAATACAGCGGTTGTGTGGGGCAGTGAAAGTGGAAGCGACAGCTGCCTTTGGGAAAGAGGAAGAGGAAGAGGAAGGGTGGAGAAAAAAACCCCACAAACAAAAACCTTCCTGCCTTCCTCTTCTTGGAAGCCACAGACCTTGGAGGCTCCCAGGGAGTGGGAGCCACAGAAAAGGTTGGCAGAGAACTCAGGGCTCCGTGGAGAAGACAGGTGACACTACGTCTGGGTGATGAAAACGCACTAGGCAGGCTCCTGTGGCAAGGGCGGTCCCCTGACTCAGGTCCCTCCCGGGCGGAACTTGCCCGTGGGGCTCTTGGGACCACTGGCCTCTGCTTGGCGACCCAGAATAGCACAACTCTGCAATCCACCGGGCTCTGGGGCTGGAAGTTTCAGGCTCCCGTATGCCGCGTGCCGCGCCTCCCCAGCCAACACACATGTACAGGCAGGCACGCACACCTTCTGCGCGTCTCCCACCGCACCCAGGTGCGCACAGAGCCGCCTGCTCGCTCACCAACCACCTGCAGCCCTCAGGGAAACGGCGGGCGAACGGCACACCTTCGGGCTGAACGTGGCTGCCAGGAGCGCCGCTCTGGTTTGCAGGCGCACGGGAGGGCAGCCACAGAGCCCGTCTCGAATTATCCGGTTGGCCGAGTAGGGGCCGGCGAGATCAGCGCGGGGAACCTCTTGCGGGACGGCTGGCAGTGGGCTCCGCGCTCCCCTAGGGAATAACCTATCCCTTCCGCCCCACCCCGAGTGCCCCGAGGCTCTGCGGTGGCTGCAGAGCTTTCTCCGTCACCATCTGTAACTAAAGAATCCCAAGGTGGTGCTCTCGAACGCACAGCCTCCGGCCCGACAGCGGGTAGAAGGGGGGTCGCTTTTGAGTGAAAGCCTCAAATTGGAGTTTCGGAGTTTTGGCGGCTGGAGACAACAAGCTGTTCAGAAACCCGGGATCTGGCCGCTGCGGATCCTCAGCTTTCCTTTAAAGAGGCTTGGGACTTGGCGCACTGCTCCTGTGTTTCTTGGCCTCCCCTTTGCTTCTCCTCGGGTCTTCACTTCTCCTCCCATCTCTTCTTTTTTTCTTTCAGTGTGTCGGCCTCCCAGTCAATGGGTATACAGCAGCACCCCCGGCCCCGCCTGTCTTTTAGAGACGGGGCGCAGCCTCCTGGGCGCCCGGTATGGAGAAGCTGCCGGCGGCAGTGTGGAGCCGACCCACCAGGGCCTGGGGCTCCCAGACCCCACGGCCGAGCGCAGTGGTGCGGGGCTGGGGGAGGAGGACGGGCCACCAAGAGGGGTCTGCTGCTCAACAGCGGCCTTCACTCTTCGGAACCGGGAATCCGCGTGTCTCCCTCACGCACCCGGAGCCTGGCAGGGGTGGGGCTGTTTCCAACATTTTTTGGTGGGGGGGTAGCCGGAGGGTGAGGAGAAGAGGGAGTAGCTACGTTGGGAGAACAGCAAAGAAACGGATCTTGTGGGGAGGTAAACCTAGGGACGGACAGAGATATCTCAGCCAAAGCCCAGGGGAAGGGAGTGACCACAACAGAGACAGAGGCACGGGGACAAAGAGAAGGGCGCTTGCCCAGACAAAGCCCAAGTCCTAGAGACCCTGAGACGGAGGCAGGAGAACGGGAGGTTTGGAACCACAGAGCTGGGGCCACAGGAATCCCCAGGGCCACGACGGGTCACATTCTTGAAATTAGGGTTTCAGTCCTCGACGGCAAGGGTCAGGCAGACAGGAGGGGACAGACGGGCGGGGGCGACACAGCCTGGCCCGCCGCCTTAATGCCCACGCAGAGGGTCGTAACAACAGACACGCTCTGCCGACGTGGGTCTCTTAGGGTTCAGGAGGGAAGTCTCTGCGGGCCAGAGTTCAGTCGGTATCAAGAGAGCCCGGTGTGTTTGTCCCGCCCCGGTCGCCTGAGGCCAGAGCCATAGTCTGCACAGACGCGAGACAGCGGGTCCAGGGTGGCCTAGAAACGTCCCCCACTGAGCCACGGTGCGAGTGTGCGCTCACTGCGCGCGAACAGGATGGGGACACTTACAGGGTGGGTGCGTGTCCCCAGTCTCCAGCTTCGGGGAAGGGGCGGCGCTTCGGCACAGCCCAGGCCCAAGCTCTCCGCACAGACGGCCAAATCACTCCTGCGGAGAGCTCGCTTCTCCAAGAGGGTTGCAGACGGGCTCTGCCAGCGTTGGTGGCCAATCCAAATCTTTGAGTTAAAGTTTTAGTTAAAATACATTCATTTTATTAAAAAGAGGCGGTCTAAGACCACGCCCTACCCCAGCCTCCCCAAAGGCGCAAGAGAATGGAGGGTTTTTAGATTAACTGGAGACAAATATTTTACCTGCTAATACTTAAAAAAATCTGGCCGCGTCCGCATTGATGCGGCTCACTTGACCCCTACGCGCGGCGTCAGTCGTGCTGGTCCCGCGCAGACAGCGGCTGGGACACACTCACCCAGTGCACGCTTCTCCTGCCTTTCGCTGCGCGCACCCAAAGCTGGAAAGCAGAAGGCGACGCGGGAGGCGGGTCGGGTCTCCGGGTCCAGCGAATTCGCGATTTATCCGGTTTCAGCGCCAGGGCCGGAGTCTGGGGAAGAACTCAATTCCGGCCATCACGGACCTGGGTAGGGAGGGCGAGCAGCGCCTAGCGCTGTCTGGATGCCTAGTGCGGTGAGCGCCGGTCATCCGTCTGCGCTCCAGGGAGATTTCTCATCTGACTGCCCTGGGCCCCTTCACTGTGCCGTTTCCCCTGTCGGCCACCGGACCTTCCCCACCCAGGACTTTTTGGCGTGGGGAGCCGCCAATGAGCACCCCTGAAGGCCGGAGTTCGGGATTTTAGCTGGGACGATCAGCGCGGGACTCGCGGCTGAGTATGAAGACCGGACCGGAGGACCTGTGCGTGGCTCGAGGGGAACCTGTCCTGGGTTCTGGCGCACATACAGCCTGCGATCTGGGCTGGCTCGGGTTGGGCCAGGTGGAGAGACCTGGCTGGGTCCGAAGCGCCGTCCAAGCCTTCCGGCAGTGGGCCGGGCGGTTCGGGGCGCCTTTGCGCACAGTGGCCACTTGGGGTCGCACTTTATGCCTGTTTGAGCCTCTCCGCGGCGGGCTGACGCCGGGATCTGCTTAATCGTTACAAAACGTTCAAACAAAAACAGGGCCCGTTCCCCAGCAGCCGAGAGCCACTCGGAGCACGGTCCCGGGCTGGCCTCGGCCCCGAGCTTCGGGGCGCTGAGGTTTTCGTGCATCTGGCGGAGGAAAGGGATTCAGAGCCTTTGGCCGATTCTTTCCCATTCGCCTTCATCGTGAGCACTGGGGGGTGGGGTGAGAGTGGGAGCGGCGGGGGCCTGGAGAGTCGAATCTCAGGGCTCCGCCACCGCACCCTTCAGGAGGGGGACGGCCCTCTCTTGGCCCAAGAAAGGTCCCTGTGGTTAAGAGTTGGGTCTGAACACAACTCTCAGAGATCCAACCTCTTTCTCCCCAACACACAAATACGCGCAGACCTCCAGAAACACAGGCACGCACGGCACACACTCGCACGGCCTGAAGCCGCGAGGACACTGGGCGGGGGCCGCTGGGGAACAAAGGGCCCGGGAGGCGTTGTCCCGGAGCTCATTCTGAGCCTCCTTGAGGGTGACAAGGGTTGGGGGTGGGGATGCAGAGGGTATCGAGCAAGGAGAGCGCGCCAGGGGGTGGAAGCGGCAGCTTGATCCAGAGGTGGGGCGCGCACAGAAGGCCAGAGTGCGGGGGCCGGGACCTGGAGGGTGTGGGGGGTTGGGCCCAGGCCGTCCGTCCCACTCTGCTCCAGCCCTCCGCAAGGCCTCCGCGGCACCCGGGCTGCTGGGGCCGCCAGTCAGCTGACGCGGGGGGCGGGGGAGCTGTCAGGCGCGCCCCGCCCTGCGCCGCTGGGCCGCCGAGGCCGTGCAGCTATTGGCCAGCGCGCCGGGCAGCCCGGGCCCCCGCGCCCCGGTGACATCAGGAAAGCGATAAAAGGCAGCAGCGGTGCAGGATCCGGCACAGCTGCACCGCCTGGCTGCGAGCGGCTGCGAGCGAGAGAGCTTAAGAGCAAGAGAGGTAGAGAGCGAGCGGCGGGCACTGGCCCCACGCCTCCCCTCCGCCCCACCGTGCGCCCCGCTTGCCTCTCCACCCCGCCCGGCTCCACCCGGCCCGGTCCCGGTGTGGGCACAGCCCCGAGCTCTGGGGCCGTGCAGGCAGCCTTGGGACTCTCCGGCGCGCCGCCGCGTCCCCAGACAAAGGCTTGGCCGGCGGCCCCGGCCCGCTGCGCCCTCGGCTCCCCGCCTCCCCGGCTCGCCGCTCTTCGCCCCCGCGCTTAGCTCAGCGCGCCCCGGCCGGCCGCAAAGTTTCCCGGGCGGCAGCAGCGGCTGCGCCTCGCGTCAGCGATGGCCGCGGAGCTGAGCATGGGGCCAGAGCTGCCCACCAGCCCGCTGGCCATGGAGTACGTCAACGACTTCGACCTGCTCAAGTTCGACGTGAAGAAGGAGCCTCTGGGGCGCACGGAGCGTCCGGGCAGGCCCTGCACACGCCTGCAGCCAGCCGGCTCGGTGTCCTCCACACCGCTCAGCACGCCGTGTAGCTCGGTGCCCTCCTCGCCCAGCTTCAGCCCGACCGAACAGAAGACCCATCTCGAGGACCTGTACTGGATGGCGAGCAACTACCAGCAGATGAACCCCGAGGCGCTCAACCTGACGCCCGAGGACGCGGTGGAGGCGCTCATCGGCTCGCACCCAGTGCCACAGCCGCTGCAGAGCTTCGACGGCTTCCGCGGCGCGCACCACCACCACCACCACCATCACCCTCACCCGCACCACGCGTACCCGGGAGCCGGCGTGGCCCACGACGAGCTAGGCCCCCACGCGCACCCGCACCATCACCACCATCACCAAGCGTCGCCGCCGCCGTCCAGCGCCGCCAGCCCGGCGCAACAACTACCCACCAGCCACCCCGGGCCCGGGCAGCACGCGGCAGCGTCGGCGACGGCGGCGGGCGGCAACGGCAGCGTGGAGGATCGCTTCTCCGACGACCAGCTCGTTTCCATGTCAGTGCGCGAGCTGAACCGCCACCTGCGGGGCTTCACCAAGGACGAGGTGATCCGCCTGAAGCAGAAGCGGCGGACGCTGAAGAACCGGGGCTACGCCCAGTCATGCAGGTATAAACGCGTCCAGCAGAAACACCACCTGGAGAATGAGAAGACACAGCTCATTCAGCAGGTGGAGCAGCTTAAGCAGGAGGTGTCCCGGCTGGCCCGCGAGAGAGACGCCTACAAGGTCAAGTGCGAGAAACTCGCCAACTCCGGCTTCAGGGAGGCGGGCTCCACCAGCGACAGCCCCTCCTCTCCCGAGTTCTTTCTGTGAGTCGTGGCGGGTCCCGGCCCCCGCCCTTGCCCCGGCCCGGACTCCCTGTCCCGTGCTCCCAGTCCCGGACTCCCCTGGACCCTGTCCCTGCCGCGGCCCCAGCCTTGACCTGTTTGACTTGAGCGAGAGGGAGGAAGGGCGCGCGGGCCGCGGGCGACGGGCGGGCGCGCGAGCGGGCAGGGGACCTTGGCTAAGGCGAGGCTAGCGCACGCCAGCGCCGCCTCCTAGACTCGAGCCAGGGAGAGACGAGGGGGTGGGAAGTCCGGGAGCAACTTTTCTCTAGGCTGGAGGGCGGCGAGGCATAGTCACTGAGTCCCCAAGGCCTTCTGGAGACTCCTGGCTTTATGAACTCTGAGCGTTAAGCCCGGGCCACTGCTTTGTCACCGGGAGCACAGCCCGCCCCAGAAAAGAGCAGCGAGGAGAGGAGAGGAGAGGGACTCTGGCGTCCCGGCAGGCGCGAGGCGAGGCCGAGCAAAGGAAGGACAGAAGGACCTGACTGTTCAGAGTCCGGAGAACACTGGCTCTCAGCCTCGAGACGCGGGCCTCAGTTAGGACGTTCGGCGCGCAAATCTCATCAGTTTTATTGCCTGCTCGATTATATAGAAAAAATACGAAAATCTGCATTAAAAATATTAATCCTGCATGCTGGACATGTATGGTAATAATTTCTATTTTGTACCATTTTCTTGTTTAACTTTAGCATGTTGTTGATCATGGATCATAATCCCCTTATTTCTTTGGGTGAGAAGGGATCGCAGTTCGGAAACTCCAGCGGCTGCATGCCGGGTTTCAGTCCGGCAGTCGGCTTGTAAATACCCGCCCCGCCAAACCGCTTAGAAAACGTGGCAACAAGCTGAGTGTCTTTGTTTGGGTTTATTATTATGGAATTTTTGTTTGTAAGTAAAAAAAAAAAAAAAAGAAAAAAAAGAAAAAAAAAGAAAAAAGGAAAAGAAAGGAAAAAAGTTCTGGGCATTTTGCATCAGAAAACAACTTTGTCTTGGGGCACCCTTGGAAGTTGCATGTTTTCTTCCCTTCCCCTATCTCCATTAGGTCCCCTATTTCCTCCAGCTTTAGTTTTCTACGTTGTTGGTGTGGAGAGAGAAGACTGCGGTCCCAGCTCTTGAGTACAAGGGCAGGGCAGGACGAGCTGCGGAGTTCCGCACCCGGGAGGCTCTGGCTTGTACTCGCTCCCTGCCTTGTCTTATGGCTAAATTGACTCCCCTAACAAGAAAGGAAAGGAAAATAGATCTTTTCCTTTATGCTTTTTATTGTAACTAGAATCACCCCAGGGTCCCTTTGAAACCCTCCAGGCCTGCACTAATTGCAGGGCCCCGTAGTGTTCTTAGGGTGACTGCCTCGGCCATCCCTGACATTGGCCAATGGTCACCAGAGCTTGTATTAAACCAACTGCCACGCTCAGAATGTACCAGAAACCCAAACATTGGCAAGTAATTTTGCAACTTTCAAGTGCGTTCTTTAGACCAATGCATTGTGTTTCTTTTCCTGCTTTTGAGATAGTGGGAATAGTTATTGGTGGTATCCTCCCCCCCTTCAGTTGTATAATAGTTATAGGGAAGATCTGGGTGTTTTCTTTATTTTTACTTTTTTTTTCTGCAGGTCAGTAAAAGGATTTAAGTTGCACTGACAGAAATACCAAAATAAAAGCATATTTTTAGTTCCCATTTGAAATTGCTGGCGCTGCTGGCCGGATGCATTTTTTTAGTTTGTATTAGTTGATAAATTAACGGTAATAACAAGATTGTATGAACCGCATGGTGCTTGCAGTTTTAAATATTGTGGATATTCGTCCTGCATCAGATACGAGCTTCGGTTTTTACGGATTCAACTGTGTTGAAATCAAACTTGCCGCAACAGAAATTGTTTTTATTTCATGTAAAATAAGGGATCAATTTCAAACCCTGCTTATGATATGAAAATATTAAAACCTAGTCTATTGTAGTTTTATTCAGACTGGTTTCTGTTTTTTGGTTATTAAAATGGTTTCCTATTTTGCTTATTAAAACCATGGAAATGGTGTTTATTTAGGGGACTGCGTTCGCACAACCTTGACTTTCTTCTCTTGTCTCTTCAAGAGTCACACCGACTTTGGGGCACTGTCACCTCCAAATCTCTCTCTTGAGTGTGTGAGTGTGTGTGTAAGTGAGCCTCAAACGTGTTCTCTGCTTCTCACCCTAGGTACAGACCCCGGTCAAGAACCGGTGTGTGAGCTGAGCGGGTGCAGGTCCAAAAGGCCCTGGAGTCCCTGGGCACGGGGTATATGCTACTTTTTCGGTGCTTTCAGCCTTGGCCATCAGGACTGACCTGCTAGTCTGCCTGCTCTGAAATAGCAATTGAAGGAGACCAGGATGCCAGGAGCTGCCACCCTGATGGGGAAGCAGAGTCTTTTTGGTGTCGAAGCCCAGCTGATCCACTGCTCTCACCCTCCTGCTTGAGCTGAAAGTCTCTTTTCTCATGCCCAGTGTATCTCTCTGGGAGCAACTGAAGCTGCCCAGAGCTAGATGCCTCCTCTGAGTAAGGGCCTATCCTCCTCCCCACACGGCTGGTGGAAACGAGTATAACCCAGCACCAGATCTTGAGGTGCAGGACCCTCCAGACAAGAAGCCTCTCTGGGTGGACTTTTTTGGGGTAGTATGCCCAGGGTGGCTTGTAGCCCTCAGCTCCACAGAAAGGTGCTGCACGGCTGGGATTCAGTGGTTCCTCACTTTGGGGGTTGGGGGGGGGCTTTGGGTCATCATTCTGGCACAGCAGCTCCAACTGCAGCCTGGAGATCACTGACCGGGAGGTGGCCCTAGAACCTTTCCTTTTCTTGATTCCTGGAAGAGCGGTGCCCACTTAGGTGGTCTGCAACCCCTTCCAACCTCCTTGGAATCCTGCCTATAACTCAGGGTTGGTCTCAGACACCTCTGGGAGGTGGAGTAGGACCCACAAACCCCAGGACCCTAATGGGGAGGTGTAGGACACCCAAGCAGTAGAACACTAGCCAGGAATCTGAGCTGGTGAAGCCTGGGAGAAGGAAGGGGAGAGTAGAAGTAGCGGGGAATAGATTTTGGCCTGGATCCCTGGAAGCCTGGGGGTGGGTGGTGGCGGCTGGGGTCTGGAGAAGAGGCAGGGGACCTAAAAATTAAGGGTACAAATAATATTAGCAATAACTTACATTTATATAGTGCTTTGGTGTTGTTCAGTCGGAGGCAAGCTCAGGATACTAGCTTGAATTTAATTCCAAGGCCCAGTTCATTTCACCAACCAAAAGACATCTGGCAGGGAAAGCTTTGGCTGTGATCTGAGACGAGGAGGCAGCCCAGCCTGGCTGTGGGGTAACTGCTAACTTGTGCACTGTGGAAGGAGCAAGGGGGTATGATTTGTTGGGTAACTGCAATATGCAAGCGCTCCTGCACAGAACACGCCCACAGGTACAAATGCATCCCCTTTAGGGTGAAAAAGACCTCATTCAGTGGGGTGCTGGAAGAAACCCCACTTCGTGGCTCGGTGGCTCCAGAGACCAAGGGGATCATGGACTCTTGGTGGTGGAGGCCTTAAACCTGGTGACCTGGCTCCCTTTGGTACCGTCCCATGTGGACTAGCATCCTCCATCCTCAGCCTCTGAGATGGTGAGGGTTGCAAATTCCAAAGTGTTGGTCTTCCTTCCCCAGATCACAGGGGCACAGACACTGGCCTAGCGACGATCACCATCACATTGCACCCAGAAGATAAGGTGGCTCAGACCAGTTCAATCCCGCCGACACAGTCCTAGTGACACACTGACACAGACACCTACGCCCTGCACCCACATTGACGCCCGGCGCAGGCCTATCAGTCTCTGCACGGACCCACCCAGTGAGCCTTAGTCTGCTCGGGGCGCACGCGGGCGAGAGCTGGGCACAGCCCGCAGCTCTTCGGAGGCGGCACGGGCTCCCAGGGCGGGCTCGTACAACAGGCAAGCCCCAGCCACGTCTCCGCCTGCGGCCCGCCGACTCGACCCACCAGTATGCCCCAGACCCAGCGCCCACTGCCCAGGAAAAGCGAACTGGGTCCCGAGGCCCTCGGGCTCGTTGCACCCCGGCGGCACCCCACAACCTTCATCCTCCTTGCCGGTTCCCATCGCTCCCCGCGGCTCGCGGGCTCCTTGCAGTCCTCCACGTCCCCGAGGGAAAACCCTCCCAGCGCCAGGAGTCTTCCAAGCCAGCACCGGTCCCAAGTAGACAGGCTGGCGCCTGCCCCTGGAGACACAGGAGGAGGCAGACACACAGACACCGGGACGCACGCGGGGGGCACACGCGGGCCCCTGGACGTGGGCTTCCCTCCGGGTCGCGCCCCTGGCTGGGGCGGTCGCGGTTCGGTCCGGTGCGAAGCCCCGGTCTTGCGACCCCCGATGCCCCCGGATGTGCAGGAGGCCGTGCCGGCTGCATCTGCCGCCGCCGCCTTTGGCGAGGCCGATCGGCAAAGGCCCTCGGCGCGGCTTTGCGGGAGCCGCGGGTCCCCACTCGCGCGGGAGGGTGGAGACACTGGCCCCATCCCCTTGCCTCCTGGCACCCGGCCCTTCTTTGCCATTTCACATCCCTTTAGCCCTTCCTTTGTAACCTCTTTCATTTCAGAAAACTTTCTCCTTCCGTTTTGATTTCTCGCCTGCCTTGTATCCCGGCGCTGCCTGGCGGGGCAGAGCTGCGGGAGCGGCTCCCGAGGTGTCTGCCGTGTGCGGGGAGGAACGAGGGGTGGCGAGGTAGGGCCTGGAGTCCCCGGAGCCACCGCGCAGCGCCGCTGCCGGGGGCCAGCTGCTCGGGGCTCTCGCCTGGACTGCTCCAGTTCCGCGGCCGCTCCCTTCCGTCTCTCCGCCGGCGGCAAGGTCGGCTGGGATCGGCAGGGAGCAGCGTCCGGCTGGCGGGCCGGCGGCCACATCTCGGCTCCCAGAGAAAGGCTCTCTGGGGCAGCTGAGGCTGGGCCCTAGACCCAGCTCCCTTCTCAGTCAGGCGGGCTTCCCGCAGGCCCTAGAGCCTGGGCATTTCTGTGGCCCGACAAGCCCCCTGCTTGTCAGAGGCCACTTCAGCTAGTGCCTGGTCCCACACTGGCAGCGGGAGCTGCCAGGAACCGGGCCAGATACACCAAGCTGGTTGGTCACTTGGCTTTCTCTGTGACCTGGGGTTACAGCTTCTGCCACACCAGGCAAACCCTCCACTCCCTCACCCAGTGGTCCCTGCTCCCCAAGCTCATCCTCTCTGGGGCCCTGGAAACGGTGGCTTTAGAGTTTCTACTCATTCTCTTGCAGGCTTTCAGATGCAAAACCCGAATTCAGCGCCCAACCTTCTGTTATCAGAAAGTAAAACCCTGAACTGCCTCCTTGCGTAACCTTCCCTCTGCAGCCTGCAGTCTGCTGGCCTGGCCTCTCATCCCAGAGATAGTTGTGTTTGGATTTGTTATGTAAGGAAGGGAGGATTAGAGGTTTTTTCTGCCCCTCCTCCCCCCACCAAAATAAAAGTCCTCAAATGGCACATCCTGCAGGCTGCAGCAGCAGCGGTGGCCCTCCTAAAAGACGCCAGTCTGTTTGGTAGGGCTGCTCCACGCTGGTGCCTGGCACAGCAGACTCAAAAGGCCAACCAGCCGAAGTGAAGGGACAGTCCTATGTCCAGAGTGTCCCCGGTCCACAGAAGCAGCCACCACGGGGCTTCTCAGGCTGGGCTCTCCTGGCCCAGAAGCTTAGCCTTCTTTTGGAAAAGACAGCAGCTGCTGCTGCTGCTGGAATTTTATTCTTTCTACAGTTCCTGCCCCTGCCAGCAGGTGTCCAGACCCTGGAGGGCACCTCTTTCACCTGGGGAGCCCCTTCTACCATGCCCTCCATGGCTCCTTCGTATCCTGTGTGCCCCCTCCATGTTGGAACACCTTTACCATGGTCTACGTGAATTTTCCTTGCCTCATACTTCTCAGTCTTCTTGATATCTTTCTCCGTTGTCCCACACATATCATCTTAAAAGATGCATTTAGATAAGAAAATCAGAGCTAACTGTTCTCACTTGGAAGAAGTATGTGAGGTAAGTTGCTGCTTCATCGTGGAAAAACACTTAAATTAATAATTAGGATTTGTTCAGAAGCAAAACTCAATTTTCACTGCCTCTGTGCATTCTTTGCATATGGAGTTACTTCCATGTAAAATAGCAGCCACTCATTACACATCCTTTCGTATTTGTATTGAAAAGGGATGATGTTTTAGGTTAGAGGGGCAGCTTCAGAGGCAGTGGGAGAAGGCCTGGTATTTTCTGGAAGAAGCCAGTTTCAGCACGAGAAGGGAGATGAAGTTCACACATTCAATATTTATGTTGCTGTGATTTCTTTTTTTGGCACTCTGTACTCTTACCAGGGCTTGAACTTCTTCTAGTAAATGGACAGTGGGTGGGAGGCTAGAGGGTGCCCATTTCAGAGCTCTGGGATGTGATGCAGGCATTGATCCTGGCCTGTGACTTCATCAAATTCAGGAGCCCAGGCTGCCGTAGCTCACTCTCAAGTCTCCTTCTTTCTTCTCCTGATCTGTCACCATCACTGTCCTGACTCTGCCAGTGTTACAGGCATCTGAGCCCCATGCAGGAGAGGCCGTGGGCCGGGGCTCAGTTCTGCCTGTCCTGAGTGGGCAGAGAAGGGCTGCACTTCCCAGTGCAAGGCTCAACACCTGCCCTCCTTTGTGTCCTGGGAGCCAGAGCCTGGTACACATGTCCCTTTCCAGGGACACTTGGCAGGCAGGTCACAGAGCAGAAGAGGTATGGCCAAACCCTGAGGTTTAGTCCAGTACGACATTTCAGACATTTCACTTAACTCTATGGAGTGTGGGCTACCATTATCCGCACGTCAGGGACTGGTAAACAAGGTCCAGAGGGGTCATCTTTTTCTCAGTGTCACCCAGCAGAGGAACCAGAACTTGAATCCCGACCTATCTGATACTGAAATTTGTATTTTTGCCACCAAACCTCACAAGTCCACTACCCCTTACCTGAAACACTTGGGGAGGGGGAGGGGGACTAA